GCAATCTGAGACAAATTATCTCATCTCCCAGGGCCCTATTTCCTGAAGAGAGTTCACTCTACTTGTCAGGTAATGGCTATGAGGCAAAGGACACATTTGCCCTGCTAAGGCATTACTATGGCTATTATTGACCTTGGAAAATAATTACCCTCATTATAACTTCCTCAGCATACTAAGATTAACATTCTTTTAAGAGAGGGCCTATGGGTAAATGGTCCATACCTATGCTTCAAACATCACCCCAGACAGGTTGTTCTCAACTGTAATTCAGGCCCTCCTGGGGACATAATTTCATCTCTGAATGGAGTCAGAGAAGGATCTTCTGTAACTGCCAATAAGCACCACTGGAAGAATTCCTGAGCTCTCTTCACACTGAGAACTGAGCAGGATAACTCTTTAGAAGCTGGAGTAGTGAGACAGGCTCACTGCCGAAGTTGCTATGGACTGCAGTCATGCTGCTGTGTTCATCCAGACACTGCAGAACCATTTCTCAAACTCTTTGAGAGAAAAATTTTAAAATATCAAAGCTGGGAGAAAAAAGCTGAACTTCTATCAACCTGTCCGGTAGCACTTTGCAAAGCAGATAAGAAAGGCCATCTGGAATGAAGTAGAAAGGGGAGGGGACCTAGAGTCAGCTTCAAATTATAGCTTTGCTACTTCAAAGCTGCTTGGACAAATTACCTGACCTTTCCTTCTCTTTCTTTATCAGTTAAATAGAGACAGTAAATCAACTAAGAGAGCTAAACAAAACACCATATAAAAAGCACCAAGGCCAGCACATGGCTTCACAGAGAAGCTGAGTATTGTGCATGAACTTTCTTATGGAACCCAACATTTCAACTCTGATGACAGGTGATTGAGTGTGTACGTATCTGGTTCCCGTTCTAGACTCTTAAACTCCTTGAGGGCAGGACTTGAGCAGCATAATATCATAGTGGTCAACAGCACAGCAACAAACCTGGATTTCAGCTTGGTTTCATTTCTTGTTATGTTACCTTGGGCAAATTACTCAACTTCTCTGTCCACAAAATAGTAGTAACTATACATTCCAATGGACTGTAGAGGGTATCACTTGAGATACCACCACTGAGGCTTTTAGCACTGAGCCTAGCCCACTGTAAGTGCTCAGTAAATGGTCCTGATTATTCTCTTTCCCATTCCTGTGTCCCTTATACCTGCTAACAGCATCTAGCTAACAAGACGTGTTAGTTTGAAGGTTTGTGCAGCAGAGAAGTTGCCCCGTGCACAGAAACTCAGAAAGAGCAAAAACTATACGTATAAAGACCCCAACGAGAAGGGGAGGTCCCTACCTCTGGAAAATCTCTTGCAGCGTTTCCCGGGTGAAGGCATTGCTGTCCTGGAAGACGTTATTGAGGGCGTGCAGAGCACAGAGCTCCCTGCGCTGTTTCTCATGGTAGATTTGTGGGGGTGCTGCCTGGGGCAGCTCCAATGATTCAGATTTGACCTTGTCTCCTTTCCATGGCACGCAACTCATGTTTTTCCTTTTAGGTTCCAGAGAGGGCTAAAAACACCCCACCCTTCCCTCCTGAGGAGGAATGTAAGCTTCTCAGCCTTTTGAGAATTCCTGAGGTCCACCTTACTTTCTGGTGTCCATGATTTATGCTTTGTCACGGGAAGAAGAAAAGGTTGGACTCAAAAGGAAAAATAATCCCCCTCTTCTCAACAGAAAGATAACTTTTGGATTAGTGTATTTCGCCGCCACTGTCAAAGTGCAGAAGTTTTAAAAAACCATGTAAAATCAAAGACCTTGTTTTCCTTCTTCCACCCCCTCCAAAAAAACCCAACGATTTTCTTGCCGTATTTTCTCTCTGCAAATGCCAACCAGGCCTCAAGGCAAGAGGACCGAATGGAATCGGTCACATCGCTCCTTTTCTTCCATTTCTTTGGAACCACGAAGCCACTGGCTCGGGAGACAAGGCCTAAGCGGCGGATAAAACACAAATTTCGAGCAGCTAACGAGGGCCGACCGGCGTGGGTTCGCGGGCCCTGCTGCGGCCTCGGGGGAGGCTCTCCATCCTCTCGGGTGCGGCGGGACCTCGAGGGGCCGAGGCGGACGCAGCTCCTTCGGAAAGCGCGAACTCTCACCCTCTCGACGCGGCCCTACGGAGGAGACAACTCCTGTCAACCGGGCTGCCCCGGGAAGCGGCGCGGCGGCCTCGGCCCCGGCCCCGGCCCCAGCTCCAGCCCCGGCCCTAGGGAAGGTCCTTCGCGGCGACGCGCAGGCCAGTCAGGGGTGGGGCCGGACAGTCCGCCGCGCTCTCGGGGGCCTGGGCCCACCCAGCTCGCAGCCCCCACCCCAACCTCCCCGCCCGTCACGTGAGTGCAAAAACCAAGCCGCCCTCCCGCCGCTCCCCTAACCCCGGTCCCCGCGCCGCCAGGACAGCCTGCCGCCGCTCGCCCTCTCACCGCTGCAGGACGCCACCTGGAGCTGCGGGCCGCCACCTGGGCCGCACTCCGGGCAAGCGGGCGGGCGGGCAGGCGAGCGCACGCACCTGAGCCCGACGTCAGCGGCCCCCGCCCGGCGCGTGCTCCGGAAACGCCCTCCTGCGCCGTCTCCCTGCTCCCGCCCCGCCCCGGCGTCACATCTGACGTCAGCCTGACGTCAGCGGCGCCGGCTTTGAGGCTGTGGCGGCGGTTCGGTTGAAGTGGTGCGGGCTGCGTTGGGTCTCTTGCGGGTGCGGGGTTGGGAGTTCGGCGGCCGCGGTAGCCCAGGCGGCGGCGGCAGTAGCTCGCCGCAGGTAGAGCTAAGTGCCGGGTTCCTCGGCTCTGTTCCTTCCGGGGCTGGGCTGGCCAGGCGGCCCGGCGAGTCCCGCCCTGGTGCCTGTTCCGCCCTTCGCTTCCCTGTCCCTCCCCTGGGCGTCGGCTCCGTTCCAGGGCGGCGCCCACCCCGCGGCTGTAATTTAGCGGCTCTTCCCACCCGCTCTCTCTGACCGGGATTTTGGGGCTGAGTGCTTGCGCGAACCCGGACTAGTCTTACCTGCGCCGACCGTTTTATGTTTATCTAGCACACCGTTTACCAGGTGATTTCATAGCACTTTATTGACGCGGTCGGGCGCAGATTTTCTTGGTTAGTGGGCCCGACCGCCGCCGCTTTCCAGGAGCTCCTGCGTGCTAAGTTCCTTGCCAGTGAGCCGAGTTTGAAGTGGTATAGAGCCGTGTTTCAGTTCCTTGGTGTCGAATTTCGGCTTGCTACTCGGACCACCGTCCTTTTGCCTTCAGGTTTCCGTCTGGTTCGTGGTGGCGGCCATAGAGTTTTCCTCTGAATTTTCTCTAGGTCTATCTTGAGAGCAGTGTGTGTGTCAGGAAAATGAACTCAGTCCCGCATAAATCTCCGCCCCCGCTTTTTTTTCTTTTTGGATTTTTGTTCAGAAAATTCGAAAAACAATAAAAAAAAATAACGATTCAGTTATTTCTTTAATGCTTCAATAGAACTCACTGTTAAAACACAAAATTCAACTGAGTAAATTTGAAAATCTAATTGGGTTATTAAACAACTCACGTATCAGGCAGCACCCCATCTAGTAAATAGAAAGGTGCTCCTAGAAGTTGTGCAAAATGGAAGGTTTTTAATAGAATAAAGTGGATTGTATCGCTGAAAGGGCACATTCCCTTATAGGAAGGCAAGGGTCTTATCAGGCAGATTAGCTCAGTAGTGATTAGTTAAAGATTCTACTCCTGATAGAGGCTGAAACTGCAGTTTAGTTAGGTGTTAAATCTTGGCTGGGCTTAACACAAGTGATATCTTCCCAGATAGTGCGGTGGTAAAAAATCTGCCTCCAGATTTTGGAGGCATTCCAAATTTGCACTCCAGTGCAAGAGAGGCAAGAGGTCTGGGTTTTGAGCTCTGGGCCGGGAAGATTCCCTGGAGTAAGAAATGGCAACCCACTCCAGTATTTTTACCTGGAAAATTTCGTGGACAGGAGCCTGGTGGGCTACGGTTCATGGGGTTGCAAAGAGACATGACTAAGCATGCACCCACAAGTGACTGTATTTGAGGCTTGTTTCTTTTTAACAAATCCATTACACCAAACAGACTAGCACTTAGCAGGTGTGTGCCTGCCTGTGTGGTTGGGAGTCCTCTGCCCTGATCAACACAACTTTTGAACTTTTTATAATTTGTAAGCCACCTAAGGATTACAGTTATATTTGCATAAGATTCGTTATTGAGGCTTGCAAGCACTTCTAAGTGCTTTACTTATATTAGCTGATTTACTGCGAACTATCCTGTTAAGTAGGAGAAGGCAATGGCAACCCATTCCAGTACTCTTGCCTGGAAGATCCCATGGGCAGAGGAGCCTGATGGGCTGCAGTCCATGGGGTCACAAAAAGTCGGACACGACTGAGCGACTTCACTTTCACTTTTCACTTTCATGCATTGGAGAAGGAAATGGCAACCCACTCCAATGTTCTTGCCTGGAGAATCCCAGGGACTGCAGAGCCTGGTGGGCTGCTGTCTATGGGGTCACACAGAGTCGGACACTACTGAAGCGACTTAGGAGCAGCAGCAGCAGCAGCATCCTGTTAAGTTCATACTTGTGCTGACAACTGAAGCACAGAGAGATTAACTTGTTTGAGGTCACATAGTAAGTAGAGGACCTAGGATTTGAACCTAGGTTCTAACCTGTCTTCAGAAAAAGGATGTAAACATAAGGAATTCCTTCTCTAAAATGTGATTTCAGATTCTTAAAGAAGTACCTTCTCGGGTGGTCCAGTGGTTAAGAATTTGGCTTAAAATGCAGGGGACACCAGTTCAATCCCTGGTCTGGGAAGATCCCACATGCTGCACTCAGATAAATCCGTGAGCTGCAACTACTGAAGCTGGTGCTCCACATCAAGAGAAGCCAAAGCAATGGGAATCCTGTGCACCGCAACTAGAGAAAGCCTGAGAACAGCAATGAAGACACAGCACAGCCACACATAAACAAACAAAAAAAGTTCTGGCATTTCTTAAAAAAAAAAAATAGAAGTACCTTCTCTGATAATATATATATTTTTTCTGGGTAAAGTCCTGTAGTGAGAAGGGCAATATTTTTTTAAACGCATACCATCAGGGTAAGCACGTTCTGAACTTGAACTCCTGGAAGAGCCAGTTGGTAAGAGTCTAAATATCAGTATTATTCTAGAGTATAATGCCATAATTGGCTCTTCCGACAAACTGGGATTTTAATATTTTTATCTAATGAAGATATATGTAGGATAATGGTGAGCAATTTCTCCAGAAGAAAAAAATTGAACTATTATCAAAACCTTTGGAGTTGGATGACTTCTTGATCCAGATTCCCAGCTGTATTTGTACAGATTTGGTTGCCAACAGGAACAAGAAGTCGTCTCTTAACTCTCAAGTAGATCTTTGGAACTGAAGGCTCTTTGGAATTCTGCCTCTTGCTCACTAAGCTTTGTGTTTCCAGACCCCTAAACCTGGGTATGTTATCTTCTCAACTCAAATGGCTGCTCTTGCTTGCTTGCTACCTGGGACCAGTGGCCGTGGCCAGCATTATTAGTTTGACTAATCCCTAACTTCAAGCTCTTCAGTCTTTTGGAAGAATTCAAGACAATAGAACTGGTGTTGATAGTGTTTTGGGTTGGGGTTTTCCACAGCTGATGACACTGGAAGAATCTCCCATAGGAAGCTACCTTAACTGACACTAGAGTTTCGCCTTTCAGTTTACAAATGTGGTGAGGTGCTTTTGGCTTCTGTTTGAGCTGGTCGCCTCATATTGGTCTTGTAATTGCTTTCTCCACAGAGGCAATGAATGGGGAATTCTCCCTAAGGTCAGCGTTTAATTAATTGCCGCGCTCTGGCTGCTATAGTACTCCAGGCATCGATCCTACTATTAAAATTGCCTGGAGATTGCCAGCAGTTCAAAAATTCGTCTTCAGTGACAGCCCTGGAGTCATTGAGTTGAGTGGGAGGGGCCTTGTGCACTTTACAATCTCCGTGGGCGGTGGCCCACGGCGCGGGACTTATCCGAAGACTGGATTGGGCCTTCCCCGTGTCTATCATCGGAAGGCTCTCCGCCCTCGACAATCTTGCTGCAGGATTTGGAAGCTGAGCACCGCCTCTGAAAACTAGGAGAGTGATGGGCGGTAAACTCGGTGTGGTAAACTCGGTGTGTATTTCTCTCCTTATTGGTTGGCTGATGTGTCAGTCGTACTCCATTCTGCTCCCATTGGCGGGAAGGCTCCAGGCGTTAGCGTGGACATTGTGCTGCCCACTTGCAAGCTACGATTAAGGCGCGTGACGTCCCAGACTTTTGTTGTTGGGCTTTGGGCGTCTTTAATTATTCATTAGGTACTTGTACGAGCTGCAGCGATTGGTGGCCGAGAGGGCCGGTCGATTGTTTCTTAGCTAGAGATACGTGTCACCCTCTACGCGGCGGGAGAAGTTTCGCATAAATTATTCTGATACGGTTTGGGGGCGTGGCCGCGCATAGTTTAGGCAAATAAGCTGAGGAGGGAGGGGAGGCCGGCTACGAATTAGCCTAAGTTATTAAAGATGGCGGCGGAGCGGAGTCGCTCCCCGATGGAGTCGCCGGTCCCGGCCTCTATGTTCGCCCCCGAGCCCAGCTCTCCGGGGGCGGCCAGGGCCGCGGCGGCTGCCGCCCGGCTCCATGGCGGCTTCGACTCGGACTGCAGCGAGGACGGCGAGGCGCTCAACGGCGAACCAGAGCTGGACCTCACCAGCAAGGTAGGCCCCGGGCGCCGGCGGCTGAGGGGACGGGGCACTGAGGGGGAACCGGGCGGTGGGCCGAGCCGTCTCTGGGGCGACGGCGGGGGCGGGAGGGGCCGAGCCCGCCCACCTGTAAGTGCGGGACGCGCGGCGGGCTCCCAGGCGAGGGGCGGCTCCGGCTGCCCGCGGGCACCGCCGTCGGTCTCTGGTGGCGCCCACCCGGCCTCCCAGCCGTCCGGCTCCCGCCGAGATCACAACCCCTCGGCTCCGCCACGTGGAACGCGGGCGCCCGACGCCCGCAGCTGCCCGCGCAGTGACGGTCCCCACGCGGTGCCGCCTTCCCGGGAGATCGAGAGGGACTCTCTCCGTGGACTGTCCACGGCAGCCGCGGGTCGAAGGTGGCTCGGGCAGGGCGAGCGTGGGAGGATCAGGTAGTCCGAGGGGGAGCCGGGAGGCAGCTGCGGCTCTTCCTGATGTCGAGAAAGGAAATATTAAGTAGTCACTCAGTCAAGAATGTCTCCTTTAGAAATCCACCCAAAACAAAAGTGAAAGATGGACATGACCCATAGTTTCGTCTTCTGGGAGTGGAACCTTATCTTGTATGACTGGAATAATGAAAGACGTTTTAGATCGTATTTTCTGAGCATTTGAGAAGGTGGGCAGGATTTTAAGGGCTCAACCTTCTGCTTGGCTTTGGTGGGGGCGGGGATAAATAATTAAGTATAATTTGGGACTGGCGTTTTGAAGGTTCCTAACGTTGCTAAAGGAAAGAATGCCAGCTTGGGAGTCGGACCGGGCTGGGTTCCCTTTCCTCCCTGCCAGTTAAAAAGGTTCTGTGACCTTGGGAAAGTGTCTTAACCTCTCAGTTCTCCAGCTTCATCATCTTTTTAGTACAAATAGGTAGTAAAAATGAGAAATGTATGTAAGAAATCTACTACACTGCTGGTTACTTACTAAGTAAATGTTGGAAGGGAATTGAAGGAACTGATGATTCTCTGTGCAGATTAAATAGCTGCTGATGCAAGATAGCACACCCATCCCACCTCCTACCTGTTGTTGGATACTTACAATAGAAATCTTTAATGAGTTTTGAAAACATTTGTGATTTTTTTAGTCTGTGGTGACAAAACTGCACGAAACTTGATTTAAACTGGAGAGAACTTTCTTGAAACCAACAACTCTCTCCCTCTAATCTCCACTGAGCATTTAGATGACAGTGCTCCACCTTAACACAGGGTCCTCTCTGGTGCCTCTAATGCCATAGTGAGGCTGGCCGGGTTCAAAGAGGATGATCAGGGGACGTGTATGAGACAATGGGACACAATGCAGAAGACCCAGCACCTAGGTTCAAAGTACAGGCTCTGATGAGTCAACTCAGGAAATTGTAAGAGATGCACTTGACTCGGAAGCAGATGAACTAGATGTCAGTTCATGGCCAAGGTGCTGAAGAAGCGTGAAAACAGTGGGAAATGGCCCTGCAGAGTTGCAAACAGATTTATTTCCTGACCAACTTATTTAATGTTCCAGGGTAGGGAGGTGTGTCTTCGTCATGAAGCTGAGGAAGTCCTTCTCATTATTTTAAAGAAGCTATATGTAAATTAATATTGATGATATTGAAAAAAACTGATGTGACGAGAGAGAAGAGATGGGTTGAATAGACTGATTCCTGAGGAAAAGGTTAGAAGCTGTAAGTGTATATATTTGTGATAGTTAAATGTGGGGATGGACATAAGACTCCAAGAGCTTCCAGAGAGAGAGAGCATTAATGAATTGTGGTAGCTAGTTTCATCTAGGAATGACTGCGTGGAGAAAACTGTAATTACCACTTATTGAGCTGTGGAGTGGCTGCTTTACATGTTATCTTATTTGGTCTCTACAGTGGCCTTAGGAGGTAGGTATGAGTATCTCCATTTTGTAGACTAAAAAACTGAGACTCAGAGGTTAAGTTCTTTGTCCAAGGTCACACATGACAGAGAATGGGATTTGACTTGCCTGTTGGTAAACAGCCTCCTCAAATAAGTGGTTGATATTTTAATGTTATTGGCAGAAATTCACAAAATGATGGTACTGATACCTATCTTAGAGGTAAGGGTGTTTTGTGGATAAAGATAAATCTTGCAGCAGTTTTTACTGCCGATTCCTAAATAATCAAGATAGCCAAGGCAAGATGAAACAGAATTCTTATGTTATTATGGGAACCATTGGCCTTGGATGGAGAGCATGGCAATGTATGAGATCCCTGTCCTGTGATTTGCAAGCTGCAGGTAGAAGACCTTGGCATGTAGGTGTAAAGCACTGCTCATTAATTTCTACCTACAATGCCACATTGTCAGTCCCTGTGGGTCCTGCCCCTCCTGTTAAGCAGCAGGAGGCAGGCTGCTCACACCCTCTTTTCTGTGGGTTGGGGTTCGAACATACTCATAAGGCCTTGAGCTCAAAGGCTATTTAAGGAGAGGCAAAGAGGCCATGAGAGGGCTGCGAAGCTAGTTTAGGTCAGGGCGCAGTGGGGTTCAGTCAGGGTCTTTGGTCAGGCTGTTGATCTGCTTTGGCTGTGGTGCTCTTCTAGTAAGTGCGGTCCTAAGGCTGTTGGTTTCTCTTCTAGCTGGTTCTAGTGAGCCCTACATCAGAGCAGTATGACAGCCTACTTCGGCAAATGTGGGAGAGGATGGACGAGGGATGCGGAGAGACCATATATGTCATTGGGCAGGGATCAGGTGAGCATAGTTTTCCTTTCACTTTATTTTTAAAAACATTATTTAGAGCACATTTTCCCTCTTTTATCAACTTTTCCTGTTCGTGTGTCTCAGTTGCAGTGACTCTTTAGTGTCTGCAGAACTGCTGGGAGAACATGAAAGTACAGGGATAATGTTAATTCCCACCTTAGTGGTCCTAATGTGCTTGACTTTAAAGATTCACTTTCCAAGAGATTCTACGGATGCTTCTTTTCTGCTTCTAGTACCCTGCATTTGCATAAGGTGTGATGAAGCACAGAGCAAGGAAACTTCTTGTCTGAGATAATAGAGTAAGTCACAGTTAGGTCTAGAATTAAGTCTTCCCTAGGCAGCTCTAGATCTTCCCCTCCAACCCTGATTTGCCAATCCCATTGCTACTTGTTGCCTGCTTAGCAGAGAACCTTCGTGATACTTCTTGATGTCAGCAAGAAAAGGACATCCAGATTTCCTCTCTTCATCAAGGCTGCCTTGCCCTGATCCACACTGACCATTCAGTGGGAATAGCTGTGAGATCCTATCACATATGTAGGCTTGTTGCCATTCTGGAAGGGACTTGTTATTGCCCTCCAGCCCTCTTGTTCCACTTTAGGGGCCCATTGTTTTAGAGGAAGGCCATCCCCCTGACAGAATCCCAGATTATATCCTGGGCTTCCTGCCCCTGGTCATTCCTAGTTTATACTCTCAATGCAAAGCCTGCTTATTTACTCTTATATTCATTTAGACATTATCTTTGCTAAAAAGGCAGCTGGGCTTGTTTAACAGTTATCAATTTAGCCTGTTCTAGATCTTGTCTGTCATCTTTTCGAGAAGTTTAAGTAGACCTCTGTGCATCATTAAAGGACTAGTTCTCTTTACTGAATGTAGGTTTTTATAAAGACAGGTAATAATTCTTTTATAGTGTGAGTCTAAGATGGTAGAAATCTCAAAATCAGTTTTGAGCTGTTTGACAAAAATTTATTAAGTATCCTTCTAAGGTCTTGACACTGTTGCAAAACACTTTTGGATACTTAAAATCTGGCCTCTGTCCTGAGAAGGAAAGATGGCATATACATAATTAACTTCAGTAGAAAACAGCATTTAGAAATGCTGCAAAATTGACACAAGGAAGAAGGGTTTGATCTGCCAATACTGCTCTGCCTTCCTTTGAAATGTTTCTCATGTTTATCCTTTCCTTTCTGTCTTTGCTGCCACCTCCCCAGTTTCAGGTCTTATCACTTTAAAGAAGGCATGGTGAGAGAGATAGGCAAAGCAAGAGGTTCATGTTGAGAGAGAGAGAGATGGTCAGCATTGTCAAGTGTTACGGAGATAGCAGGGAGAGTTAGGTTCAGAAAAGGCCATTCCATTTGGTGACTAGGGGTTCATTGGTAGCCTTTTGAAAAGCCTTTGTGTCACATCTGGCCTGCTATAATAGGATGAACCACTTAAAGGTCACTTCAAACTTACAAAATTGAAGAAAACAACATCTAGGTCAATTCTGACAAGTCTTGGTACTGTTTGTTGAAGACGCAGATTCTTAAAGCTCAGTTGAGTTTGACTCTGCAACCCATGGACCCTAGCCAGCCAAGCTCCTCTGTCCATCGAGTTCTCCAGGCCAGAATACTGGAGTGGGTGGCCATTCCCTGCTCCAGAGGATCTTCCCAACCCAGGGATTGAACCCGGGTCTCCTGCACTGCAGGCGGATTCTTTACAGTCTGAGCCACCAGAGAAGCCCCTTAAAGCCCCCACTGCTCCCTTATTCTTTAATATGAACTTTTAGTGAACTTTACCAAACCCTGATGGCTCACAGTTAATTAACCCTCCCATGGCAAAGCATAAGAACAAACATTCATTAACATGTGTCTTACACACCCAAGCATTATCTTGGCATCTACCAATTGGATGCTATTAGATTCATAGTGACTCCTTCCTGCTGGAATTCTTTAGAGGTAGAAAAAGATTGCAACTAGTTAAACAAGTTGAACTTCAAATGGAAGACTGAACTAGATGCAAAGCCCCTAGGGGTCAACTTCATCACTGACTTTCTATGTATATTTGGTGCTTCCCCTCTGTTTACTGCTTCCTTCTTCTGTAAAATGGGGCTGATGCCACCACCACCACCCCCACCTCAGAGAAATTTGTATGGATAAATTAGGTTTTTAAAAAATTCTAAGCAGGGTGGAGGAGTGTGCTCTTTAAATATACATTCTAAAGATTGATATTAAAAGGAGGCACCATGATTAGTTAGTTCAAATTCTGTAGTTAGGTTAGATTCTGGAACCTGGCAGGTCTGAGTTTGCCTTAGGTTCTTTCCCTTGCCTTAAAATGGGGATAATAATAGAATCTAGACCTTGGTATCATGGTGAGGATTAACATTTGGCATGTAAATATAGTAAGCACTATATAAATGCTTAGCTACTATTAGTAGTCATTTTTTAAAGGTTCCAGGTTATAATTGATTTACCATGAGATCTCTTTTAAAAAGAGCCTTGTTCATTCCTCAAATATTAAATCATGACTTTCTAAGAAGTAGGTACTGCATTCAAAGCTCAGGAAGTGTGGAAGGAGTATGATAACTTTGTGGCAGGGTCAAAGAAGGCTTAAAAGTCTTGCTACAGAAGGAGGTGCCCGATGAGTGAATTCTAAAGGATGAATAGGAGTTTCCTAGATGAGTGGAGGCAGTAGTGAGTGAGCCGAGAAAGCCACAAGCACAGAGGCATGGAGGCATTGTGATTGTGGAGTATTTGGTGGATCAGAGGTAAAGTGGGAGTGAGGGTGAGATTGGGAGTGTCAGGAAGGGAGACTGGACAGGTAGTCAGGGCCCAGCTCTGAGAGTCTTTGAATGCCATACCAAAGCATTTAGATTTGTGTCCTAAAAGTTTGGGGACCCTCTGCTGCATGTTGAGCAGGAGGGTGAGGCAGGACCAAAATCTGACTAGCTTCCTGCATGGCTTAATATGTGGCCCTTAGTGATTGGACCTCTGACTTTTCTCCTTGGCTTTTTTTCCACTCCTACCAAGTGAGGACATGCTGGAGAAGGCTGATGTGACTGGGGGTACTTTCAGTCACAGAATACTGGGAGCCCTGGATGGATAGGTGGGAGGGAGCCCTGGATGGATAGGTGACATGTTGATTGCCCCCTGGTGTGAGATAGAGCCTGAAAGCGTTGCTTTTCACTGTAACAGAAGCAGAAAAGTTTGGATAGAGTTTGGAGTCTGGCCAGAATGGCAAGGCAGCCGGCCTTCTCTCAGGAACAGTTCCAAGCCCTTCCCTAATCCTGAAGATTCCTAGAGCTCACTTGGCCATGCATTTAGAAGTTTCTTGACCCAACTGCTCCCTTTATGTTCATTTGGTTTAGCATTTTGCAGACATTTGCAGACTTAGTATAGGAAAGGCACCCCTCATGGAGTGTCCAGGGATGTTTGAGATACAGTCCTTATCCTCGAGATGCTTGTGTATAGTGGGTGAAGACATATTCAAAACACTATTCTGTGGTAAATTTCATAAGGGAGCAGAATGGGTAGGCTTTTGACAAGTGGAGATGTGCTGATGGGCTTTCCAGGGTAGGAAATACGTGAGCAAAGGTATAGAGCTGGCAAAATGCAGACAACATGGGAGATGGTGACTGGGCCATCTGCACTGGAACAGAATTTAGGAGGGGAGGATGGGGAAGGGGTGGAGTAAATGATGGACGCCTCTAAGGAATTAGAACTGAACACAGCCGGGCCTGGGGAGCCCTTCCAAGGCTTTGACTCAAAAGCGACAACGTCAACTGTGCATTGTTTAGGAACTTGAGCTTGTGCATCTATGCAGGATGAGTTGGAGGAAACAGATGGGATTTGCTGAGACAGGGATCTTGTGGTGATACAAGTAAATAAGGGCCTGAATCAGACTGGTGACATTGGATTTCCAAAGAAAGGAGAGCAGGAACAAGGAAAGCTAGACTTGGCAGGACTGGAGTGATGAGTATTAATCTTGGGTGACTGGAAGGATAGTAGTGTCATCAGAAACAGGGAAGGCATCAGGAGGAACTGGTCTGACATTAGGAGGAGCCCTTGCCAAAGGAAAAGGCTCTAGGTGTGGAATCAGAAGACCCATGGCCCCTCTGCTCCCTCCCAGCTCTGAGACCTCTGGGTTCTGTGTACCCCGGTACTAAATGGGAACAGTAGTATCTAACTCATAGGGCTGCAGGGAGGACTGACATGCTTTGTTAATGCTGTTAGTTTTTGTGCTGTTGTTTAGAAAGGGAGTGGATAGAGCTCTGGGAAGAGGACTAGTTATGAATGTTTTTTGTAGTTTTCAAATGACAGTGGAAGCCATAGAATATAGTCGAGGGTCATGTTCAAGGACAGAGAAGAGGGCCACTGATCAACTACTGAAAAAGGCTGACATCGAGGGGAAGGAGCAGGAAGAGCCAGCAGAGGAGACAGAAGGAGGAACCAGAGGGCAGGAGGTGAAGCAGAAGAATTTGGGGGACTTCCCTGGTGGTTTAGTGGTCAAGGCTTTGAGCTCCCAGTGCAGGGGGCACTAGTTCAATCCCTGGTTGGGGAACTAATCCCACATGTGGCAAGGCATGGCCAAAAGTAAATAAATAAAAGGAAAAAAAGAGTTCAGGTTATAAGGCAGTAGAGTGGGAGTGAGGTGCTTCAGTCAACAGGGGGACAGTGGCCAGTGGCGTTGACTCTGCAGGGCTCGAGAAAAGGACTTTGGATGAGGGTAGAAGGCCACTGATGACTTGAAAGCCAGTTTTTTTCCAGAGGCAGCAGATCAGTGAGTAGGTGGTGAGGAAGTACAGTCACCAAGTGTCCTCTGGCAGGGATGGAAGCACAGTACATTTGCTGGGGCATAGGAAGAAGGGTTGGGTCTCGTTTAGTTTAGGAATGACTTGAGCTTGTTTGTAAGGGGAGATAGTGGAAGCAGATGAGAGAAGGAGCTGCAGGGTCTTGGGAGGCAGAAAAGAAAAGAGGTTGGGGGTGAGCCCAGGGAAGGAGCAGGGGTGCTCTCGGGGAGACAGACTGGAGGAAAGTGGAGGCAGCTACTGTGGAAATTAAATATGACTCCGTGTGGGAAGCACCTGACCAGATTGTCAGACAGTAGGCACTCTATAAATTACTGGTTGATTGGTCCATCCTTCCTCATCCTAAGCTCAGACTCATTTTTTCCAGCTCCTTGCTGGACACTTCACCTGAGCCACCTCTGTGAAAAATCTGTCCCTAAAGCCATTCATAAATTCTCTCCCCATTTTCCTTTGTCTCCTATCCTTGTTATCTCTTGACTGTATTATTAGAATTCCTTCCTCAACTTGGCTCCCTGTTTCTGGTCTGTTGCTTGCCAGCATACACTTTACACTGCTGCTCAAGAGATCTTTCTGTCCCACGGCGATCTGATATGTTACTCCCCCGTGCAGCCCCCAAGGCTTCCCTGCCTGGTATATGTATGTGTTGCTGCTGTGTGATGTTCACCTGCCTAACCATTTCCACCTGTCACGTGGTCTCCTGCCACTTGACATCTTGCTCCCCAGCACACCACGCTGCTCCTTGGTGCCCGAGCGTGCCGTGATCTGCTGGGCTCCATGCTTTGCTCTGCTGCCTGGCATGTCTTCCCTCCTTTCTCTGCAGGCCCGTTTTTCATGTTCGGAGGCCCAGCTTGGAGTCAGCGCCCTGCAAAGCTGTGTTCAGCTTCCCTAGGCAATGCTAGCTGCTCATGCTTTACATTCTCTTTGTACCGTTCTGTAGTACAGCACTCAAGCGGTACGGCAATTAATTAATTTCCTGTCTCTCCCGCTGGGCTGTGAACCCGCCAAGGGCACCTGTATTCCCCATACCCAGCGTGAGACTTGGCATGAAACCTGGGAGAGTCCCCGTGATTACCACTGAAGGAATTAATGACTGCCCTGCTTAATGGGGAAGCCCTGTTACTTATGAACTCCACACGTGCCTGAGTGTTGGAAGTGTCAGAGAGAGAGCCATGTTCTGCAGTGCCCAGGGTGGGGCCCTGGTGACGGGTGGTTAACTGGCTGACTTGGTGGCAGGCTGACGTGTGGACTGTTGTCACCAGATGGGACTGAGTACGGGCTGAGTGAAGCTGACATGGAGGCCTCCTACGCCACCGTGAAGAGCATGGCAGAGCAGATAGAGGCTGATGTCATCCTCCTGCGGGAGCGGCAAGAGGCTGGGGGCCGTGTGCGCGATTACCTGGTCCGAAAACGAGTAGGAGACAATGACTTCCTGGAAGTCAGGTGAGGGCCCTGGAGGATTCCAGGCCCCTGCAGCATGACCTGGGGTCCTGGGCACCGTAGGGAATGGCGACTGAGCCTTTGACACTGGGCACACTCACTTCATCCTTTTGCTTCCCGAGGCCTGAAAAGAGTGTCCAGTGACATCAATGGCTCCATTCTCTGTTTCTGTACTTCTTCATCTTTAAATCCTCCCATTTGGAAAGAGTGGGAGGGATGCCAGCCCTGCGTTCTGTGGCCACTTTGTGGGGGTACTTGCCCTCCCCTCAGCCTGGGCGGCTAGAAACCAGGGTCATGGAGGAGAGCATCGTGTTCCCCTCTTGGCTTTAGGGCTCCTGTCGGGGAGCTCAGTTCCTCCTGAGTAACGTTCTAGTCCCTGGGTACAGCTCCAAGAGCATTCCCAACGTGCTCACCCATGGCTCGAAGGAGCAGAGAGCTGGAGAGGCTCAGGGGTGAGCCCATCCCTACAGGTCCAGTTGCTGGGGTTCACTTCACTCACCCACCAACTCTCACACAAATGTATGGGTTTGTGTACACGCAGGGTAGCGGTCGTGGGCAACGTGGATGCCGGCAAAAGCACGCTTCTGGGGGTCCTGACACACGGGGAGCTGGACAATGGGCGAGGCTTTGCCCGCCAGAAACTCTTCCGCCACAAACATGAGATTGAGTCGGGTCGCACCAGCAGTGTGGGCAACGACATTCTGGGCTTTGACAGTGAAGGAAATGTGGTAAACAAACCAGACAGCCACGGTGGCAGCCTGGAGTGGACAAAGATCTGTGAGAAATCCACTAAGGTGATTACCTTCATCGACTTGGCTGGCCATGAGAAGTACCTGAAGACCACTGTCTTTGGCATGACTGGCCATTTGCCTGACTTCTGCATGCTCATGGTAAGTGAGGTGCTGCTGAGGAGGGTGGGGGTCTTCGGCTAGGCTCCTGGGATGTGGTGGTATGCAAGTGTTTAAAATTGTTCTGAGGCGGGAGCCTTTTGGTTTAGGGCTTTGAAACCGGATAAGGACCACAAGTGTTACAAGGGTGCCCGGTCTTCTCATGGGTATACCTTGATCTTTCTCCTAGGTGAGGCCAGGAAGAGATCCTCAAAAAGAAACCAAGGTGCCATTTGCAGACCTCTCTTATTTTTCAGAGAGGTGTAGAGGAGGGTTCTCCTGGGGCGTTTCTTACTACCTCTGAAAGGAAACACCACCTTTCAGAGGTGTTTCCTCCTGGGGTCGGGCTATTTTGAGATGATGTTGGGCAGCACCCTCAGAGATGGGCGGCCTGGGGACGAAATGGAGGAGTGAATGCAGACAGCCACTGAGGGGCTGGAGAGGTGGTCTCTTCTGAAGCCTGGAACTGGTGTCCACTTCTCACAGCTGCTTGTTGAGAGGCGTCTGTGTCCCTGGCACCGTGCCAGGCCTGAAAATAGAGCCATGAACAGGCTGTCCTGAGCGTCCCTAGAGCTCACAGTCTAGTGGGAATAGACTTTTCAGCACCTCACCACGTGGATAAACTGAAGAGGGAAGGGAGCAGAGGCTTCTGGGCTGGATCACGTTGTGAACCCCGCAGTTGGGTCTCTTGGATCTTCCTGGCCAGAGAGTAGGAGTCTGTGAGGCCCACAGCCTTGGTCACGACTTCACAGCTTTCACGGAGTGCAGGCAAGCTGGTTTTTCTTTGGCAAATCCTTCTCAAAGCCCTTCCCCATTTCTCAGTCCCTCCAGCTGCCTGTATTAATAAGTGGAGTAAATGCAAGTATCTGTTCAGTACAAACTTGATCAAGTTGCCGAACAAACAGGTTCTTGGGCAAATTTTCTCCAGACTGGAGAGCAAGAGAGGCAGAGCACATGTGTGAACACGCTCATCAGCTCTCTGCCCAAGGTTCTCAGGGTCTCAGTGTGGTTTCGTCTCCTGAATCTTTGGACATTGCAAAGGACCCTTACCAACCTTGACTGGCTAAGGAAAGCTGCTCTTCCCAAAGGGGTTTTAGAGGAAGAGCAGAGAGTGTATTTGGGGCAGTTGTTGGATTAAACTTAAGAAGGGTATAGAAATCAGTTTAAAATGAGCGTTTTTCTAACTGAGCTACAGTTAGTGTCAGTCACTTTGTGACCCTATGGGCTGTAGCCCTCCAGACTCCTCTGTCCGTGGGATTTTCTGGACAGGAATACTGGAGTGGGTTGCCATTTCTTTCTCCAGGGGATCTCCCCAACCCAGGAATCAAACCTGGGTCTCCAACATGGCTACAGTGATCAAGGCCAATTAATGGACATGTCTTCACCCCAAATGAGATGTTATATATTATCTGACTTTTAGGTCAGGAGATAAGTACTGAAAATCTCTGTGTAAAACAATGAAATACTTGATTATTGTTTCATGGCAATTAGTTTCCAAAAAAAAAAAAAAAACAAACCAAAACCTTGAACATATAGAGACAGCAGAGAGAGAGCATTCTCTTATCCATCTTGGAAGAAGAGAAGCACATCTGGGTAGGTTAGGGAAGGTGGTCGAAGGGATGGGAAGATTTAGGAGGAAGATGGTAGAGAGGTTGTGGTGTAGGCAGAGGGAACACGTGTGGAACATCTGTGTTGGTGGGGTGATAGCTCCCCTGGGAACCGTGATGACCAGTGAGAGCATCACTTGAAAACACTCTGGAATGTATGAAACCCTGTATAAATATGTCATGGCAATTTTAACCTTATTTTGTTTTAGTGAGTGATACATGCATATGGTACAAAAATTACAAGGTACCTGAGGACTTTAGAGACTTTCCACTTTAGAGTGAGAAGTCTCTCTTCTGCCTCTGTTCCGTTTTCTCCAGATGCAACCAGTACTGCCAGTTTCTTATACATCCTCTTAGAGATATTTTGTAATCATACCAGCAAACGTGTGTATATTGAAAGTAGATTACATTATAGACATTGTGACTCTTCACCCTAAATGCCTCTCACAGGTCCTAAAATACTTTAGCGCACAGTCTGCTACTGTTTTTGCACCCAAGAAAATGAACAAGAGTTCACTAATATCATATAGTATCTAGTCTAAAAACATTTATATTATCTCAGATGTTCCTCCGGATGTCTTACAGCTGCTTTTTTTCAAACAGTGATCCAATCACCACTCTTCATGGTAGCATGCTGTATACCACCTTGCTTTTCTCCCCTTCAAACATATCTTAGAGAGTACCCTGTTGTCAGTGGAGAGGAATTTCCTCTTTCTTTTGCAGCACACTTGTGCATGTGCATTAATTCATGTAACTGGCCTTTATGATATTTGAAAATGTTTATTGTTACAGGAAGGAATGGTAACAGTAGTAACAGCGGCTCTTGTTTGAAGACCTAATTCCTGCTAGTTCTGTGTGGACCTTTTGACACATGTTTGGTTATTTAAACCTCAAGTGAACCCTCTAAAGTGAATATTATTATCCTCCCATTTTATAGATAGGGTAACTGGGGGCCAGGGATGTTAAACTGAATCCACTTTGATGACTCTGGACAGTTCTTTTCCCAGACTGAGTTTGTCTTTTTTTTTATTGCTTCCAAGTCTCCTCAGATTCTGATAGGCCATCTTGTTATATGGGAGGTTAAAGCGGTCTGTGCCCAGCCCAGCTTTCAGCTACAGCTGTTTTGTTTCTGGCCCAAGACTTGCACCCGCTGTGTTCTGTTCTGATAGTGGCCTCAGAGATGACAGTGCTCTCTTCCCTCAGCCTTCTTTGAGCCCCTGTGCCCACCCAGCAGCCCTGTCTGTCCCCCTTGTCCTGATAGTTCTCTCTGTGTCGGGGCAGGTGGGCAGCAACGCTGGCATCGTAGGGATGACCAAGGAGCACCTGGGCTTGGCGTTGGCCCTCAACGTGCCTGTGTTTGTGGTGGTCACCAAGATTGACATGTGTCCTGCCAACATCCTACAAGGTAAGTGCGGGCAGCAGCAGTCTATGGCACAGTCACCCACGGTGGCTCCTTGGTGATCTGCCGCCAGGGCTGCAGCCTGGGATCTTGTGCTTCCTTGTACTGTGTGTAGACCTTGGCCCGAATGTCCACCAGCCCAGAGACTTCTGCTTCCTCCCTGTTTGGCTCTTGGTCTGAGCACAGCCTAGAGTTACCTCCTGTTCATTGTTCCTTCTGGTTACAAATGCAGGATCCTTGAAGTCCCTAATCTGACATCTCTTTTCAAATGGTTTTAGGCAGAAGGGGTTGGGTTGTACCATCTAAGCTGGGCATATATGAAGACATTTGGACAGAGTCTGATGGCCTTTTGCAACCAAAGGCTTCTAAACAGAGTTGCAAGACTCGGCTAGAGATGGTGGAAGAGAGTTAGAGATGGATCCTTCTGGAGGGCCTCCTAAGGACTTCTGCAGGTGTCTAAACATCCTAGAGATCCTCTTGTCAAATGAATTTTTTCCCAGGAAACAGAGCATTCTAGGAACAACACTGTCCTTTTCGTGCACCCCCAAGTCACTTACTTATAGGATGTGAGTCTTCTAGAGACTCTGGAGAAACCTGTCAGGTTTCAGACCTGTGACCTGAGCACATACTCCCCATTAGTCTCCTCCTGCTCTGGCAAGCATTCACCCAGTTTTGGCCCTCCTTCTCTTCTCCAGGCATTATGGCATTTAACACTGTGCATCTGTCTGTCTCCTGCTGCATCAATAATGAGTGGACCTGTCTTGCCTTGGAAGCCTGGCCAAAGAGAAGGCTGTGTCCCCTAATTTTGTTCCATTTCACCCTTTAAGAAACCCTGAAGCTGTTGCAGCGCCTGCTGAAGTCACCGGGCTGCCGGAAGATCCCCGTGCTGGTGCAGAGCAAGGATGATGTGATTGTTACAGCCTCCAACTTCAGCTCTGAGAGGTAATGAGTAGGGAGCAGTCAGTTGGGCACAGGCACAGCGATTGGTTGAAATAGATGATTCTGCTCTCAGCGATGTTGCTCAGGGGCTGTATGAAGTGACCCAGGTTCTCAGGTGCTTGGCCTCACTGAGGCTGGAGTACTAGCTGAGACTTCAGTGTCCTTATCTGTGAAATGGGTATTATCTTCTTCATAGGGCTCTTGTAAGTGTTGGCAATGATATATATAAAGCACTTAGCACTGTGCATGGCTGCTGTTTGTTAGATACACAGCCATTTTTATAACTGTTTTTGTTGACTTTTAAAATATATATATATTTATTTGGCTGCACTGGGTCTTAGTTGCAGCATTCCGGATCTAGTTCCCTGACCAGAGATCAAACCCGGGCCCCCTGTATTGGGAGTGCAGAGTCTTAGCCACTGGACCACCAGGTCCCTAATTTTTTTATACTGTTGTTTCTCAAAAGCTGTCTAATCACAGATGAGTTTTGGCATTTACTCATTAGCATGTCCTTTGATTCTATAAATATATATATATTTTTGGCTGTGATGGGTGACTTTTGGGCTCTTAGTTACCACAATTGAACCCAGGCCAGCAGTGAAAGTGGTTGACTGCCAGGGAATTCCTTGATTCCATAAATATTTATTGGATGTTTGTTCTGTGCTGGTCTTTTCATTTAGGCATTGAGGACTCAGAGTTGACTTGCGCACAGTCCTTGTCTTCAGGGTGGTTGGCTCCTTGGTCAAAGATAGTCTCTTGGTAGTAGTGAATTTTGTTGACTCTGCTTCTTCTCTCATAGTCTTGGGACTGTTTGCTACAGGACCCAGAGCAGCCCGACATTTTGGCCTTTTCTCTCTGCCCTAGCACTGTCTTTAGTACCACCAGTTGGCCAGCAGAGGGAGTATGTTTCAGTTGGCCCCATTTCAGTTCATTCATTTTGTTGAGTCCCTGTCCTATACAGTCCTTATTCTAGATGTAGCAAACATGTAATTCCTGATCTTGAGAAGTTTGATTAACCATGGATAGAAGATAGATAGGAAACTATTGTATATAGAATGAATAAACAGTGAGGTTCTACTGTGTAGCATATTCAATATCCTATGACAAACCATAATGGAAAAGAATATATATATTGAATATATATGTATGTGTATAATTGAGTCACTTTACAGAAAAATTTAGCACTGTAAAATTTAGCACTACTATACTTCAGTATTTTTTTTTTTTTTTAAGTTTTCTGAAAACTCAAAGGGAGTCAAGGGTACCCATCTGGGGAGGATTCTCTGGAAGGAGGTGGCATTAGAGATGGGCTCTTCATATTGAATATAGTTCCCTGATGAGAGGATTTGGTAGTTGGATAAGAGGGAAGGAATCCAGGCAGCCGGATTAGAATGAACAAGGGCATGGGAATGAAAAAAGCTATGAGGAGAAGGGGGATTCTCCAGTCTGGCTGGAATATAGGACTCTGAGAGAAATAAACTGGTCGGGGTGTTGGGAGGAGGGAGCCCAGATGGTGTCTCATCAGTGGAGAGTTGGTTAAGGATTTAAGGATGTGTGTGCTGTAAGAAGAAGGGGTACTTACGAGCACCCGGAATAGGGCAGTGGTGCCAAGACAAGAGAGGAAGGGACAGATTTCAGGGACAAAATAGTGTTAGGAGAGGCCTCAGACAGGAGTCGGTGGACTTGGCAGGGCCTGGGAGGCCAGTGAAGGGGTCACGGTGGGGGCACCCTCAGTTGCAGCAGCTGTGCCAGGAGCCCTCCTGCTGCTCCTCCTGGCTCAGGCAGGAGCTCGCCATGTGAGCGCCTTTCTTCCTGTCTCTCCACACCGCCCCCCCACCAGGATGTGCCCGATATTCCAAATCTCCAATGTCACAGGCGAGAACCTCGACCTGCTAAAGATGTTCCTCAACCTCCTCTCCCCTCGCACCAGCTACCGGGAGGAGGAGCCTGCTGAGTTTCAGATTGACGACACCTACTCTGTCCCGGTGCGTGGGTTCCGGTGGACTGAACAGGGTTGGGAGGCTGAGCAGCAGTATTTCCTCCGGGGCTACTGGGACCAGTCTGTGGTGCAGATAGACTCACTGGTCTGGGGTCTTCCCTGCAGGGTGTGGGGACCGTGGTGTCCGGGACAACACTGAGGGGCCTGATCAAGCTGAATGACACGCTGCTGCTGGGCCCAGATCCCTTGGGTAACTTCCTGTCGATTGCTGTCAAATCCATCCATCGCAAGCGCATGCCTGTCAAGGAGGTGCGCGGGGGCCAGACTGCCTCCTTTGCGCTGAAGAAGGTGAGTGGAGAAAGCTACAAGTGCCCTCGGGCTCTGTGTCATGCTGGCCTCTGACTCACCTCCAGCTTTCAGCAGCCGCTCTGCAAGGCAGGGAGTGCTGACCTCACTTTTACAGGTGAGGAGCTGAGGCCCAGAGAGCCTGGGTGACTTGTCGGGCTCTCGGGGAGCACATCAGGACTTGAACCCAGGCCTGCAGCCTCCTGAGCTCTGCTCCTCCACAGTGTCTGGCCGTGGTACCCTGCACCAGGGGTGAAGTCCGCTGGGGGCCTGCCCGCTGTGCAGAGGGTCTTTCTACCCGGGGCTGTTGAGGTCTGTAGCAGATTCTCTTGCCATTCAGCTTTCAGTTCCTGGGGCAGGGGACTGGAGTGACTGCTGGCTCCTGGGTCACCCACTTTTCCCACCAAACAAATTAACCAGCAAGGCCAGACTTCTACTTTCCATCAGTTGTATTGTGCTTACCCTGTTTCTCCCACTTGAGTACTTGCCTGCCTTTGCCCTTTGGCCAGTCACATAATTCTAGCCCATCCACAAGGTCTGGCTGAAATGCCACTTTCGGACTGAAGTCTTTCCTGACCCCCCAGTAACTACCCCCTGACGGAGCCCTAAAGTCTGCCTGGGGCAGTCTGCCCTAGAAAGCTGGTGGTCCAGTGCAGTGGGAAGTTAAGGCCCTGTTGGTCCCGGTTCACAGAGGGACTCCTGCCCTGCTACATCAGGGTGTGAAGCCAGATAGCATTACTGTCCCTGAGGTCTGGGGTTCCCTCTTGTTTTCAGATCAAGCGCTCATCCATCCGGAAGGGCATGGTGATGGTTTCTCCACGCCTGAATCCCCAAGCTTCCTGGGAGTTTGAGGCCGAGATCCTGGTCCTTCATCACCCCACCACAATCAGCCCGCGGTACCAGGCCATGGGTAGGTGTTGAAGGACACTGCCAGCCAGAAGTCCCCGGCTCCAGCAGCCCACACCCCAAAGTTTCAGCTGAAGCCAAGAGTCAGGTCTCTGTCCTGTTTAGTGACACCATCCCCTCTGTTCCACCTACAAGCTGCAGCCTGTGGTCTGTTCATTCTTGCAAACACTAACCGAGCACTGGCTCTGCGCTGGGCACTGGAGACTCAGACCTGCCCTCAGCGACCTCATACTCAGTCCTTCAGCGGACGTCTGCCAAGCACTGCTGTGTGCCAGGCGGTGATGTTAAGGTGCTGGGGGACAAAGACAAGGTGGGTGGGGGCGCTGCCATCAAGAAGCCCAAAGTCCAGAGAAGGCTCTCATGCCAGCTGAGTGCCTGTGTTCAGTCTATAAGTGGAGGACAAAGTGGGAGAGTATGAGGCAGGATCCATCCAAGAACAGGCCTCCAGCTCACTTAGCCACACTCGGCCCCTCCAGGTTCAGCCTACCACACAGCTCGAGCATGGTTCATGCTTTCACTCACTGCTTCCCCTGCCCTGAGGCCCCTGGGCGGCTCAGGCTCCTGCTGACTTCTTGGCTCCCTTGGCAGTGCACTGTGGGAGCATCAGGCAGACGGCCACCATCCTGAGCATGGATAAGGACTGTCTGCGCACTGGGGACAAGGCCACCGTTCATTTCCGCTTCATTAAGACCCCCGAGTACCTGCACATAGACCAGCGGCTGGTGTTCCGGGAAGGCCGCACCAAGGCCGTGGGCACCATCACTAAGGTATGTCTGGGCAGACCACTTTGCCTGCCTGTGGGAAGTACCGGGGCCTTCCAGTTCTAGCCTGTGAGCACAGCACGCTCTTTTTGAGAAGCCCTGTGAAACCTAACTAAGCGCCATCTGCTCTGCTGCCCTGAGAGGCGTCCCTAGACCTCCTGTCCTTCTGGGCTTTGGTGGCAGCCGCGGTGGAGAGAAGGTGGAGTTGAGGCATGGCAGTCGTTGGTAGGAGAGAGTGGTGGGAGGATGTCCAGACTAGGCGGAGTCGACCTCTGAGAAGCTGGGCACAAGCTCCAGTGGCCTGGCTGGGGCAGTGCCCTTACAGCAGTGGGTCCAGTTGGAGCGAGTGCTGGCCAGCAGTGGGGCATAGGCTCGAGCTCTTTGTGTCTTGGAGCCCGCCTCATCCCCTCTGCAGACTTCATCCGTGGCCTTGAGTAAGGGCCCTTGAGAGAGTGGTCTGACCCCTGCTCCATATAGCCTGTCTGAGATCTTGAAATCAGGCTCAGGCTTGCTTTCTTTCCAGAATGGCCTTAGGCCCATCTGCGTGACCCTGGGCCTGCAGTGTGTGTTGGGGAGAGGGGAGGATCATGTCTTTGAAGGCCCCCTTGCTTCGGACTGGCTGAGGATTTGGCTGAAGCTACTAGCACATGCTCTAGTGCCCTTGAGGATGCAGCCAGACCTGTTCCCTGCTTTGAGATTGAACTGGGATCATCAGGGAAGGCTCTGAGTCAGTCCTTCCTGGGTGGTAGCTCTTAAGAATTCTGATGGCAGTGCTCCAAATTCTTCCCGCTCCTGAGAGACTCACTTGGTCTCTTTGGGAATCCTGAAATGAAAACTTGCCCCAGACTCTTGTTCCACGGGCAGCAGGAGGTACTCAGGGCAGGCTGGACCCCCAGCCTGGGAGCTGGGCTGAGTAGCAGATGCTGGGGTTCACAGATTGTGGGAAGAGCAGCCAGGGCGGGGGACAGCCTGGAACCCTTCTGGGCTGGGCCCTGACCACGGCAGCCCGAGCACACTGAGTGGAGAGGGCGTCTTGCTGCCCCACTGCCCTTCCTCACCCCCCAGCCCTCCCTGCCTCGCCCAGGCCCGGCCAGGCCAGGACTGGGAGGTCGCTGAGACCTTGGGGTGGGTCGGGGGCAGCTGAGCCCGTGTCGTGGCCGGCAACTCCAGTCTCGCCCTCACCCCTTGGCTCTGGCAGCTCCTGCAGACCACCAACAACTCCCCAATGAACTCCAAGCCCCAGCAGATCAAAATGCAGTCGACGAAAAAGGGTCCCCTGCCCAAACGAGAAGAGGGGGGCCCCTCTGGAGGGCCCACAGTGGGAGGCCCCCCACCAGGAGATGAAGCTTGCTCCCTTGGGGCCACCCAGCTGGCTGCATCCAGCAGTCTCCAGCCACAGGTGAGTGCTTCCCCAGCCAGTCCGACCCCTGACCACCTCGGGTGGGCAGGGACGAGAGTTGGGGGGTAGAGGTGACTCACACAAGACCCTGGGCAGCCTTTGCCAGCCTGTCATGTCCTTGAGTTCCTCAGTGGGTGTTTCTCCACACTCCAGGCCTGTCTGTGCTCTCCAGGTGGGAGCTTTTGGTCTCTTAAGGCAGTATTTTTCAAACTTGAGATGTGGCCTACGTGAAGTCAACTTAATGAGTCGGACCAGCATTTAGTTTTAATGAAAAAGAATAAAAACATGTCAGTTTCCCTGTCACAGTAAGAGCGAGTGGTGTGTGTGTGAGAGTACAAGTGATATGTGCACACTGCAACCCCAGGTGTCCGAAAGAGTCTGTCTTCAGGGCCCTTCCCCGACATGGCACCTCCTGAGGGGTGGGTGGCCTCGGGCCCCGGTCCGTGTGGCTCTCGCTCAGAACCTCCAGCCAGCTCTGGGCCCTGGAGTCCTCTCCTGGCGCCCCCACATTGCTCCTTTCCAGGGTCTTCCCTGACCCCTCTCTGGAGAGAGCTTCAGCCTGGACCTATCCTTGCTGCTCTCCCCTCGTCCTCTCGTCGAGTCTCCCCGCCGCCTCCCCTGCACCTGTCAGCGGCGGCACGTTAGCTCCTGCCCGCTGTGTGCTCCCTGAACTGCTCCTCACACCCGGATCCCTGGGACCCACCACCTGCAAGGAAGGCAGGATGGGCGCCGGCTCCGTCCCAGAGAGCTACTTGCTCATGGGCGGCCCCCCTTTCCCACAGCCGGATCCCTGGGACCCGCCACCTGCGAGGAAGGCAGGGTGGGCGCCGGCTCCGTCCCAGAGAGCTACTTGCTCATGGGCGGCCCCCCTTTCCCACAGCCGGATCCCTGGGACCCGCCACCTGCGAGGAAGGCAGGGTGGGCGCCAGCTCCGTCCCAGAAAGTCGCTCGCTCAGGGGCGGCCCCCGCTTCCCACAGCCCCTCTGTGCTCTGTGCTGCCCCGGGCCCAGCGGGCCACTGCTTCTCAAGCTCTTCCTTCTCTCTTTCAGCCCAAGCCCAGCAGTGGGGGCCGGCGACGGGGGGGCCAGCGTCACAAGGTGAAGTCCCAGGGGGCCTGCATGACTCCCGCCAGCGGCTGCTGAGTCTCCCCGGCCCACCTCCATCACCCGAGGGATCCTGGTGCTCTGGCCCCGGCTCCACCAGAGGAACCAGAGCAGCCCTGGAGCCACTCACCCTCCCCAGCCGCAGCCGGAGCCTCATCATTCCCCCCAACCCCCGTTTTCCAGGGGGGCTGTAATTTATAAGCTGAGGAAGGTGGCCAGACTCCCAGAGAGGACTGACCATCATCTCCCACCCTCCTCCCCGCCTTCTTCCTCACTCACACCTTTTTTGTACATCCGGGCCCTTAGTTTTTATTCTTTTTATTATATATCTATCTCTCTATCTAGTGTGTGTGTGGTTGTGTGTGGGGGTGTATGTCTGAGGTGCAGGAGCGCGGCCGATCAGGGCCCTGGGCATCTTTCTCCTTTTTCCTCTGTGGCTGGCCACCGGCCTCCAGGAGCTAGCTGGCTGCCTGTCCGTACGTCTGTCTGTGTGTGTCTGTGCGAACCTTCCGGGGCTGTCAGGGGCTGGCATGCGGCCCCCCCCCCCGGTGTCCATTCTCTGTGCCTGGAGCCGCCTTGTGGCTGCGGGCGTCCAGGTGGGAGTGTCTGCTGGTACTGGAGTCCTCCTTCCAGGACTTGGGGATCTTAGCAGAGCCAAGAGTGGTGGTTCCCTGTTCTCTTTCTCCCTCTTGCTTCCCTTGAACCCCCAAACAGTTAATGCCAAAAGCTCTTAAGCTGTAACCCGTAGATGTGGAGGGGGTATTGGCGATTGGATAGTAGGATCCTCCTTCCCCCATCTCTGACCCTCGCCCTTGACCTAGAGACAGCTGATGGCTTTTCTTGCCCTTCTGAGACAATCTTCTGTTTGTTTAGCTGACTGGGGTGACCCCTCCTCAGCCAATTCTGTCACGTTGGACGCTCTCGCCTCGCCCTCCCCAGGGCTGCCTCCTGCTTGAACTTGGACTCTGAGTCTTGTTGGGTCTCGGGCCAGAGGACCAGGACTCGGGGCTGCCCACTCAGGGTGCGCTCAGCAGCCCTTCCTGTTGGTGGGGGTGCCCACTGTTCCTCTGAGCCAGGCAGGAACAGAACCCCTATTTGCCCACATAGCCCCAGCGCGACTGCTACAGGAGCACAAGAGTGAAGGGCCCGAGCCCCAGATTGGGAAGCTCTAATTGGAGTACAGGGAGGGCAGGCAGGAGGTATTAAGATTCTTCCAGACCCATCTCAAGAGCATTAAGCCCTCAGGAAGAATCACTGTCTGGGGTGGGGGTGGTGTTGCCCGGGCCAGAGAGGGCAACACGGGCCCCGAACCAGCCTGGCCTGAGCTCTGACTAAGCCCTCACTTTAGGGTGGACTGGTGGGCAGAGCTGTGTTCTTTCTCTAGCCTGGGACACCCACCTACCTGGCTGGGTCCTTCCTCAGCCTCCCCTCCCCTCCGTCCCCAACCCTTCACCACTCCTCCTGCGTCCAGACCGCTGGTCCCTTCTCCTCCCCTCCTAACTATTTCTAGTTACCACTTACCTGTGGCCATGGACCGACCAGACCAGCACACAAAATAAAAATTTGTTTCAAGTTGACGGTGTCGTGTTCCCTGCCCAGCCCCTCCAGGTAGAGGCGCTGCCACGGGGACCTCCATTGTTCTCCCCGCCCTGGAGCCCCGGCCACAGGCGAGGCCCGCAGGAGCCCAGCTTCTCCTGCCAGGCAGGCATGGCTTCAAGAACCCAGGCTTCTCGGCCAGTGGTGACCCAGGACCAGCTGGCATCCTCTGAACCTCAGCTTCCTTTATCCACAGTGAGAAAGGTGAATGCCTGCCTCAGTTTGATGAGGATTCAGCGAGAGAACGAGCATGAGATCCCAATGTGCCCAGCGTGGGGAGGTACCTGGTGAGTGGTCACCACGTGACTTCTCACCCATGGTGGCCCCCAAGTCCACAGCAGAGGCCACAAGCTGGGGGACAGGATCCAAAGGACAGATGTGGCACGGACTCGGCTCTGCTGTGCAGCTGGGACCGTGCCAGGCGTTTCCCTCGCTTCATGCTCTTTAACATTCGCGGCTACCATCTGGGAGGGAGGTGGCATTAGTGATGTCCTTCCAGTTAAGAACTTGGGAGCAGTGCCCCCAGCCCCCAGCCATTCCGGTCACCCGCTCCAGCATGTCCTCCAGCCGGCCCTGGTTCCTTTGTCTGCTGGCTGTCTCCCCTTTGCTTTTTTTGACTCTGGTTCTGCTTAGAGGGGCTGCTGCCCAAGGGTGCCTTCATGGTGGGAGTTCCAGGTGGAGTAGCAACCCATACTTTCAGTCCCTGTGGCAGGTGCTGTGGAATTTGTTCCCACAGGACTTGGCCATGTGGGACCTTGAAACAGAACCACATTTAGCTGGCAGTCTCTTGCCTCTGTGAACATAACCACTTCCTTTACATTTAGAAGCTATGGCTTCCACCCTGGCCTCTGCCTTCAGACACTCAGATCAGTCTTCTCTCTGTGGTCACCAGGCCCCACCTGCTAGCCAGGGGACTGATGGCAGCACTTTACTGTCGTTGGCTGGGACTGCAAAGGTCCTGTATGTGTCTCAGCCCTACCCACTGTCTATTTGGAACAATCAGCCCTTTCATAGTTGAAGAAAAGTTGTTAATCCAGTCATCTTAAATGGCAAATCCTGACCTTCTGCAATGCAGTTAGCATATGTGACCTTTTTTAATTCATCCAGGCCTGCTGTTCTGACCCTCTGACTTCCCCAGCACCAGAATAAGGTAACAGCAACATGCCATGGTGCAGGGAAGAGCAGGTTTGACTGGGGTCATGAGACAGACCATGGAGAAGATGGCCAGGTCCCATGGTCAGGATGAGGCGTATGTTGAGTCCAGATGGGGAACCATCCCTGGCAGGTTGTACCATGAAGGACTCGTCAGATCTGCACTTGTACAGACAGGCCCCAGAGGGCATGAGCAGAGGCCCTGAGCTCTGATTGTATGTGGTCAGTTCCAGAGACTGTGTACTGGTGCTGCTTAGGGATGTGGCCTTTGTTGAAAAATGGTGGTAAATACAGTGCAGGCGTTAAGTGAGACAGGAGGTGATGAAGCAAGCGGCTGCTGAGCCGTGCGTCCTGGGACTGGCTCTGTCCTGGTGGAGAGCTGAGGGCTTGAGTAGCTGGCCCAAAGCATCAGGCCTGGCTGTGTGTCCCACCGGACACCCTCTCCCACAGCAGTTCACCTCCAGCTCCTCCCTGCTGACATGTCCCTGCCTTTATTTTCTCAGCTGTGATGGGGCCCAGCCCTGAGCCCGGTGCCATGGTCAGGATGAGGCGTGTGTTGAGTCCAGATGGGGAACCACCTCGGGCACCTGAAGCTGCTCATTGGAGGCACAGAATCTGGGGAAATACATGCAAGGAAGGGCCAGGACCTGCTCCCTGGAACTGGCAAGAGTTTGACTCTTCAGGGGACCCACCTCGTCCCATTCCAACACAGGGACAAGGGTCTAACTCCTGTGGAGGGGGATTGCGACACTGGCATAGACAAGCTCAGAGTCAAGTGGGTCACTCCTACTGCTCCACTGAGAGATGCAGGGCAAGCCTCCTGCTTCCCAGTGGACATCAGTGATGGCCAATAAAGCCATCTCCCTTTCTCAAACCCAGGAGTCACCAGAACAGGGCCAGCCTCAGGTCCCATCTCCTATCACAGCTGAGAAGCCTGGGTTTCTAAAGCTTAGGAGGTAAGCCTTTGGGACATTGTTTTGGTTAAGAAGCCTTTCTTTTTCCCAAGAGCAGAGTCCCACGCAATGGCCAGATAAAAACCACACCACACACTCCATTAACCCTGGGCATAATTTATTTTTTGCATAGGCATAAATTAGGATCTGGAGATTAAAAAAATTAAGAACCAACAGTGCAGCATTGTGACAGGAGAGCACAAACAAAACCCGGTGGCCTGGCGGCAGGGGCCAGCGCTGGGGTGGCCTGGCGGCAGGGGCCGGCGCTGGGCAGCACAGGGGGCCTGTGGGGCCTCGCCTTGTTCCAGCCCCAACCTCGAGGAGCTCTTCCAAGGGCACCCCCCTTTGCAGTAGCCCTTCCTGCACCCTCCCCACAGGCCGGAGTGAACTGCAGAGCAAGAACCCAGTCAGTGCCCCAGGCCCCTCTCGGCAGCCAGGTTACAAGGGACTGAATTTACCCAAGGCCCCACAGAACGGGGCTAGACATCAAGCCCTTAGCTTCTCAGTTAAAAAAACAAGACCTTGAAACATATTTACACAATAGAGCAGGGCCTGCCGGGTCCAAAAGCTCCCACCTCAGCACTCCCTCCTTAACCACCCCCCCACCCCCACCCGTGACTGCTCCCCATAGAAAATGAGTCAGAATAGAAACAATGAAGCAAGAGCTGAATGAGCCCCAGGGATGGCTTAGGATCAGGGGCCTGATGGGGTGGGGCAGGGCCGACAGTCTGCACCCCACCCCACCCCGATGACACCCTGGATGTCACTCTCATCGTGTCACTGGGCCACCACGAGAGCCCAGGGAGCTCCGTGAACACTGCTGGCTGCCCCCAGAAGACAGGTCTGCACACCTACACCCTGGGGGAACGTGGCAAGCTTGCTCTGGGGAACAGGTGGGCCCGAGCTGGAGAGGGGAGCAGAGCGGGCCCTGGGCCCAGCGTCAAGAGAGAGAAGACAACTGCTGTCCCCAGCAGAGGGGCTCCTGTAGGCTCCCAGGAGCCAGGCCCTCCAGGGTACAAGAAGGCCCTGGCCCACCCTGACCCAGGCCCAGCAGTGTGCAGAAGCCCTTCAGGAATGCTGTGAGCCTCGGCTGATGGCACTGGTGTCTGGAGGGGCCCAGCCACCCTCTCCCAGGAGCTTCGTGCCTGGGGACCAGTCCCGACCTGCACCCTGAGCACCCCCCTCGCCGAGGGAGGGGGCATGGCCCAGCTGCCCCAGGCCCTAGCCTGTCTCACCCACAGCTTTGGCACCTGCTTCATCTGCGCAGCTCCCGAGGTGTCAGTCCCTCCACACGGGCCAGGGGCAGGCAGGTCTGGTCCACTTTTGCTGGACCACGGGCATCACCCCGCTCTCCCCGCCTCAGTTCCCCATGACATGCTACATATATACACCCTTCCAAGAGGGAGAAGACGCCCAGTGCTTGGCACGCGGAGAGCAAAGAAGGAAGAGAGAGAAGGGGGCCTGCTGACCACTCGAGCCGCCGGTTGCACAGGAAAAGCCCGCGTGTTCTTTCATCTCCACTGCGCCAGGGCTCCTTTCTTGCTCCTGGAAGTCAGTGCGCTTCAAGCGTGTGCGAGGAGTCGGGGAGGTGCTGTGCACCTAACCCCAGAGAGGGGGCATGGCCGGCAGCAGCACAGAGAAGGCCTAGTGGGCAGGCTCCCCGTGCACCCTGAAGCGGTAGATGCAGGTGTACTCGGGGTGGCCCCAGTTAGTCAGGATGCGCAGCTCCACCACCTGGTATGTGGCCATTTTAGGATCCTGCAGAGAAAAGGAGGGGCTAAGAATTCAGATTGGAGGGGAGACGGCCACACCCAGGGCCAGATACCCCCTCCCTCAGGCCTCTGCAGAGAAACCAGACTTCAAAAATCCCGTCTTCAGGCCCTGGAAGAGTTTCCAGCTGGTGGGCCAAGAAGCCCCAGAGGCTTCCGAGGTCCTATAGGGGCTGGGAACACACGTGAAGGCTGCGTGAGGCACCCACGGCCACAGAAATACGACCTTACAACTGAACACGAGCACAATGCATCCTGAACTGGGAAAAACTCCCAGGGGCTCCTTTTGACCATGAGCAGGACCACCTTTGAGGAAAGTCTGATACATGCTGATGTTGAAAAAGGATTCCTTCACCATGAATTAAGCAGAGTGTGGTTTTTTTTTTTTGTCAAGTTCCCATCAAGCCTCTGTACGCTCGTTTTCGGCTGAGAGCTGAAATTCTCTGGCCTGGCAGCCAGGCCTGCCTCTCTTCCCGCCTTGGTCCCTCCTCCACCTCACCCAGTTTCCACACTTGGACTCCTCTGGGGTGGCTCTCAGGTCACCTGGGCTGGAGACTGGGAAGCTGTTTCTGACAAGGGCCTAGGAGACCGATGCCCACTCAGGTTGAGGCAAGAGGCCCCTCTCTGGGGCCCAGCCAGGCTGTGCCGTGTGACACCCTGCCAGGCCACAGCCTCACTCAAGACACCTGCCCTCACAGGTTCCCCAACACCATCCCTGGAAGGGCCCCGCCCCACGCCACTCGGACAGTTTTCTCTGTTTCGTATCTCAAGCTGTGGGTGGGCTGGGCTGTGGCTTCTCACTTGGGACCCCCAGTGCCTGGCACAGGGTAAGTACTCAGAAAACACCTGATGAATGGATGGGAAAGTAAGTATGCCACACCTCTGTGAGCAGACCCGGAGTTCCATACCTGAAAATAAAACGTCTGAATGGGCTCCCCGTCCTGGTCGTAGGTGAACTGGCCAAGGAGCGTCCCTTCCTGCTGCAGGTCCTCGTCGAACCCCTGAGGATGGAGGGAGGCCCCTGCCCTTAGCCACGGGCCCCCAGGGAGGAAGGCCTTCCCTCCTGGCTCCCCCTGGTCCCCTGCCATCTGGCAGGGCAGGGGCTGG